ATGTTGCATTTTTTATTGACATATCTAGCGCCATTTCTAGTGTGGAAAAAATAATAGAAATCGTTATAAAGTGCGTATTATTCTTACTTCCTTACTCCCTCTTACGCATGGTTCGCCATCAACCAGTCATCTAAAAATCTTTCGGACCAAGAAATGGCCCTGCATTTCGAGTCAAACTTTTTCACCCGCCGAGCACAAAATGTGGGGAATTTCACGGCTATTAATACGCGTTTTTAGAAGTCACCAAAAAACACACATACACACACTTAATGGATGCATTTACGTGCGTTGTGGTTCGCACGCGCGCCGTGCGCGTGTATTTAGGCGTAAATTAACTCTTTGTACCTCGCAGGAGTGAAAATGGTTTCAGCCGAAATGCCAGCAATTTTCCTCCAATGTTTTAACGCGTTGACTGGTCGGCGATACCATCTGCGAGAGGGCGGTAAGGAAGTGAGAAGAGAAAGAAAGGGATAGTGGTTGCTAACTGGGTAAAGGTAAACCTGATTTACAAAAGAATGTATGCAAAAATATTACGAATGCGTGGGATGGCCATAGTGCGTTAAAGAAGCTCTGCCTGCAAGCCGATGAAGGGTTGAAGGTTCGAATCTCGGTAATATCTTTCCTGAAAATTGTATTAAATTGCCATTTCTCCGTTATACAGGAACATGTCGTTTTTTCTATATTAATATATTTGCTTATTGAGCCGTTGAAGGTTTTCGAATCTTCGGTAATTTCTTTCCTAAATATGCCTAAAATTGCCATTTTCTGATATATTTAAAGGAACATGTCGTTTTTCTCGATGGGGCGCCTGGTCTAGCCCTGTGGGTAGCGCGGTTAGTAAGTGGGTAGCGTCGTCCCGTGTTCTATCCCTGTCACCTGTTGGCGTTCACGGCAGAAGTAGTGTCCTAGCACATTACCTTTTACGGCGAAAACTACGACGACTTAGAAATGAATATTGTGTTGCAGCTTTCAGTACACACTATAAATGGAAGACCATTCTCAAATTTAGTAACGTTGATTTATTTATAAACCACATGACAACGACGCATGCACTGCGCATGCTCGTGGACTTGTAACTAATCAGCAACAATATTTAACTCAACACATAAGAAGAGTACACGCTAAAACGCCGAGATGGCACCATTGCTACTACGCATGCTCTGCTTATACTAATCACAAGAATATTCAGCTCAATACTATAAGAAGTGGTGTGGACGCGAGATTGCACCATGCTACTAGCAATAATAAATATGCTAGATCGTACAAGTAAAACGCGAGACTTGCACGATTAGACAGCAACTTGATCAATAAAGAAGATGATAATTGATAACAGTTCCTAATGACAGCACACATACAGTGTACATATCATGTTTGTAAAAATAACGTCTAATACATAGGCCTACTGACAAAGAGAATGTAAGTACGCTCTTGAGAAACGGTTTTTTGGTTATTATTGGGAGCTTCCCCAAAATACAGTACCGTAATAATATTAATTCAGCTATAGCATCTACCAGAACATGCGACCAATTCAGAGGGAATATCGGGCATAAATTACTATAGGCTAATGTAGACTATATCCTGGGGTAACCACATCGAAGAACCGGTGCGCGTTATTCCAAAGACATACGAACCAACATCGCATCTATCTGTCTATCTGTCTATCTGTCTATCTGTCTATCTGGGTCTATCTATCTATCCTATCATCTATCTATCTTATCTATCTATTCCCAATCACGGTGTAATACTAATCAACAAGAGTACAAATTCAACATACAATAGACGTATAAGTAAACACGAGATTGCACGATTCCAAGAACACTTGACACATTATATATAATACACATGTAGTACTGTAGTGTAAACAACGTTCAAATACTTCACAGAGGAATACTGTTCTGAAAAATGAGTTTTGCCTTTATTAATGGGACGTTTCCTAATATGTATACCAGAATACACGGACGCAGTGTACTGTCACCAGAATATGTGAAAATCTGATGGAATAAGCGGCATGAAATATTATAGGGTAACGGGAGGACCTAAATCCTGTATCCCACACCGGGACATCTATCTATCTCTATTTATCGGCATCAATCTACCCACCTAATTCTATTCTAATCGAGTACCCATCCTATCTATCTATCTAGTCTATTTATTTATCGATCTATCTACTCATCTATCTATCTAATCTATATCTTATCTATATTAGCTATCTATTATCTAGCTATACTACTATATATATGCTTAGGGCCACCTGTGAAATTTTGGGCGGTTCTAAACCAAAATAATGAGCGAAACACATAGCATACAGACAGACAGACAAAGTTGGGTTTGTTAGCATATTATATACTATATATAATATATTATATATTATATATATACATATATGATATCTACCAATCTATCCATCTATCGACCTAACTATTTATCATGCATCGACGGTGTCTCAGGCACAAGCTTACATTACCGGATAGTTGTTACACACACGTAAAACAATTAAATTTAAATATAATTAATAACATTATTAAATATTCTTCAAAATAAAAGATAAATATCACTGCGACAATCACAACGTTCTAAGGAGAATATTATAAGGTAGTGTTGAAAACATGCTCATGCGCGTTTCATCATATGGAACAGAGCGGTCATACGTTAATATTTCACCAATAGCGCGTTCAACGTAGCAGAAATTCCGGTTTTAGCGTTCACACGAGGCAAAATGCGCGCCCAAGAAACGGTATCTAAACAGATCCGGTATTTCATGTAAATACGAGGCTGCCCAGACCCGGAATATTTGCCGTGCTTGAGAAATACCGGATTTCTTGGACGCGCATTTCTCGTGTGAACGCTAAATACCGGATTTCTGAAGCGGATCATTTTATAGACTGGTCCGCGCTCGACAGATTTCAGTGTAACGCGAGGGAACTGTCGAGCGCGCGACCAGTTACGTATTCTTATCAGCAGTTGGTGCGCATTGCATTGTTTATTTCGCATTGTTCGCTGTGATTGTTTAAAGCAAGCTCGCAGCTCGCATACCGTATTTCTGGAGCCCGAATCAGCGGGTGAACGCTCGGCGTCCCTATTTGTCTCCGATACGGTATTTTCGCAAATCCGGTATTTCAGAAAATACGAGAGTCTCGTCCAGTGAACGAGGCTCATTATCAGAAGCTGTCTACGAGAAGAAACGCTTCACTTTTATGTTTGTTCTATTTTTCCGAACACGAGCAGCTTAGGCGCGCTACATGGTCGTTCGCATGAAACCCTTTTGACGTGTTGATGCTCCGGTCTGCCTCGGCACGTCCATTCGTTACAACGAGACGATTTGCCCTGGAATAAATTAACAGTGCTGTAATTTTGACTATGCGTTATTAATATGTGAGATATAATAGATATATATATATATATATAATAATATATATATCACATCTGTCAACGCAAGGTTGCATTGTTTTTCTATCTTTAACCACGCCACGCCGCTGCCTGTGCCACGAAAACCAGGAACAGTTAGCTTTAGTCTTATGAACTCCCGCTGTATTTGTACAGTGTGTGGGTTACGGTATGCAGTACGCAACGAGTAGGCCGGGTACAATTATTACAAAAATTTACGATGTACATTAACAAACAATTGCATAAGATCAAGAGCTCATAATAGATGAGATTATTATTAATATCTGCTATAATTATTTATGATAATTCTCTATTATGAGCCTCTTTGATAAGATATAATGTCAGTACACGCGTGCACGTACATGACAATGCATAAACCGGGTACAACTATTATAATGATACGACAAAACTCAAATCACTCGCGTGCACATAACATATTATATGCAATGATAAGCCGGTACAATATTACCACGATAAAATCAACTTAACATATTATGTGCACGGCGCTTCCCTCTCGTCTCCTTCCTCTTTTTTCTTCTTCTTCTTTCTTCTTCTTCTTCTCCTTCTTCTTCTTCCTCTTCTTCTGCCTTCGTCTATTCTTCTTCTTCTGGGACGACACACGCTGCCTCTCTTTCACACAGTTGGCCGACACACGTCCTCTCTCACGCACGGCTGGGACGACCACGTCCTCTCTCACGCACGGCTGGGACGACAACGTCCTCTCTCACGCACGGCTGGACGACACACCTTATCTATACGATGACTACACGTCCTCTCTTCACGACGGCCTGGGCACACCCGTCCTCTTTCTCACGCACGGGTGGGGACGCACCGAACCGTCTCTCTCCACGCACGGCTGGACGAACACACGTCCTCTCTCACGCACGCTGGGACGACACACGTCCTCTCTCACGCACGGCTCGGGACGAGCACACGTCCTCTTTCACGACGGCTGGGACGACACACGTCCTCTCTCACGCACAGGCTGGGCGACACACGTCCTCTCTCACGCACGGCTGGGACGACACACGTCCTCTCTCGACGCAGGCTGGACGACACAGTCCTCTCTCGCGCACGGCTGGGACGACACACGTCCTCTCTCAAACAAACCACCACGCTGGGGACGACACACGTCCTCTCTCTCTCACGGCTGGGACGACACAGCTCCTTCTCACGCACGGCTGGACGACACACGTCCTCATCTACGCACGGCTGGGACGACACACGTCTCTCTTCACAGCACGCTGGGACGGACACACGTCCTCTCTCACGACGGGCTGTGGGACGGACACACGTCCTCTCTCAACGACCGGCTGGACGGACACACGTCCTCTCTCACGCACGGCTGACGCCACACGTCTCTCTCACGCCGCTGGGGCGACACCTTCCGTCTTCTCAACGCAGGCTTGGGCGACACAACGTCCTCTCTCACGCACGGTGGCGACGAACACACGTCCTCTCTCACGCACTGGCCTGGGACGACACACGTCCTCTCTCACGACGGCTGGGGCGACACACGTCTCTCTCGACGCACGGCTGGGGCAAACACGACCGTCCTCTCTCACGCCGGGCTGGGGCGACACTACGTCCTCTCTTTCACGCACGGCTGGGACTAGTCGAGAGGCATCTGAAGACTCCGCCCCCGACTCCCGCTGACAACCAATCACGCGTGAGCCCCGTCAACGAGAGCGGCTCATTGGACAGCGGCGACGACTCGTCAGGCGGCGGCGGCGGCGGCGGCACGGAAGGTCGCGACCCAGCTCCGCCGCGAAGCAGCCCGGCGGCGCCCTCTACGCCCGGCGACGGCGAATCCGACTCCAGCAGCATGACAGCCGTCGTTGCCGCCCACGCCGACGCCCCGCCCCCGTCGCCCGAGAGCGGCCAATCACGCGAGAGCCCTGACGGAGCGTCGAAGCTCGACGACGCGCCATTGGCCGCCGCACCCGTCGCCCCGCCCCCCACGTCGGAGAGCGGCGAATCGGGAGCCGGTCCGTCCGCCAGCCAATTGGAAGGCAGGGCGTCGCCGCTGGAGCCGCGTCCCGACACCCTCGGTGACGACGGTGGCCGCCAGGGGTCAGCACCGCTGCCGGACGACAGTCACCAGGGGGAGTCGCCCGACCAGTCCACCCCGGAGGAGGAGAGCGGGCAGCAGCCGCCTCCAAGCACCCCCGAGGAAGGAGTGGTACAGTCTGCGCCCTCCCCTGGAGAGACTCCCGATCCCGCCTTAGCCGCTACTCAGTCAGTCGATGCCAAAGTACCCGACAGCCAATCGGATGGCTGCACCTTGCCGCCTGCCAGCCAATCGGAGCCCAGCGAGAAACCCGAAACTGCCCAATCGGGCGAGTGCTTGCCAACCGAGGTTAACCAATCGGAGACCTAGCAGGCGCCGTTATCCGATCGCGCCGCGACCTTTCTCGGGCGCGACCCCCTCGGGTCGCCGCTCTGAGAGATGCTCGCTTGTTTTGGAATCGCCGTCCCGCTGACTCGCTAGCATAGTTTAGTTTTTCGTTTTCACGTTTTTTCCTTCTCTGCGCAGCACTAACGCATCTATCTTTCTTCGCACTAACTCACTTCGTGTTCATGCATGCGTGTCGGTCGGGGGCGTCGCCTGGGCGTGGCAGGGTGTGGGCGGGGCGTGGCCTGGGTGTGGCCTGGACATGGCAGGGTGTGACCTGGCCGTGGCAGGGTGTGACCTGGCCGTGGCAGGGTGTGGCCTGGGCATGGCAGGGTGTGGCCTGGGCATGGCAGGGCGTGGCCTTGGCATGGCAGGGTGTGACCTGGCCGAGGCAGGGTGTGACCTGGGCGTGGCAGGGCGTGACCTGGCCGTGGCAGGGTGTGACCTGGATGTGGCAGGGCGTGACCTGGGCATGGCAGGGTGTGACCTGGGCGTGGCAGGGCGTGGCAGGGTACTAGCCGTGACGACGCCCCGGCACCCCGCCTCACAGTCGGCCTGTAGTAGAGAGAGATCGAAAAACGCCAAGCGCTGACAAAACACCGAACCGTCTCTCTCCACGCACGGCTGGGCGACACACGTCGCTCTCTCACGCACGCTGGGACGACACACGTCCTCTCTCACGCACGGCTCGGGCGACACGACGTCCTCTTCTCACGCGCGCTGGATCAACACGACGTCCCTCTCTCTCGTAGCTCAACGTAACAACGCCTTCTTGGCGCATCCGCGCTTCTACAGGATCATATCTGACAAAATGTCCGACGTTTCCGCAGCGCTCAGGCCTCTAACTGGCCAAGGCACCTCAAGCCTTGTAGCCAGGTTCGTGAACCTCGCCACGTGGCTGGACGGAAGCCAGTTCCGCGCAACGCGGCTAACGTGACATAGCACCTAAATTCAGAAACACTAAAATTAAAACAAATATCAACAATAATATGTATGGACTGCAACTTCACCACTAAGGAGGCAATTAAACCACTGGAATAGACTACGCAATAAACACAAAAAGGAGCCCTGCCACTTTAGCACATTTAAAAAAACTGTTAAAAAATAAAATTGTTAACAACATAAAATATATATAGCAGAATAGAAGAACAATTAATGATCTATTATGTTGATATTCTAAATGAATGTGTTTATATTAATATAAATATATGTGTGAACGTGTACAGCCTGATAATATATTAAGTATAAATACGACGTGTGTATGTGTGCGTGTCCGTGTGCGTGCAATGTATACGTGTAATGTGTATGTATTACATGTGTGGCGTACGTGGCAGCAGTTGCATGTGCAATATGAGCTTACATATCGCGCGATGTGCGTGCAGCTACAATTTGTGTCTATTGCGAGCAATAATAAAATTTGGACACAATCACAGGCTTCACGCTTTCAAACGCGTTTATTGAGGTAATACGCCTGAACAGCGCTGACGCACACACAGCACACAGACCCAGCAGATTGCGCCAACACTGGCGTCTGGCATAAGCCATAATTGTATTTTATCTCTGTGTGGTAGTATAAATCTGTTAACACGTGGCAGAGATGAGGGTGATCACGTGAACGATGCCACTAAGACTTCAACTAAGACTTCAAAATACAATACTGAAATATACGGTCACACTCTCCCGCTCCTCGCCCCTGTCTGTTTCTTCCTGTCTGTCTCTTCTCTTCTCTCTGTGGTCTCTCTCTCAACTCTCTCTCTCTCTGTCTGTCTATCTTTCTGCTCCACAGGATAAATCTCTCCTCGTCTCTCGTCTCTCGGCCTGTAGGTCGTCACTCTCTCCCTCTCGTCATCTCCTCTCATCTCTCTCTCGATCATCTCTCTGCTCTGTCTGTCTAATCTTTCTCACCTCAGATCTCTGCTCTCCTCTCTATCTCTCTCTTCATCCGTCTCTCTTTCGGTGCTACATTTTGGCAACCATAGGCAACGCAAAAAGCCGTTAACCAGTTTTCGGGATTTAATCACGGCGTTTGGTGGCGCCATCTATGCAAACGAGAGCGGAGACAATCCAACGCTACGGCGAGACTCTCTCACACCTCCCCCGACGCCGAACCGCGTTTCTACGTGACCGTGTCTGCCCTCTGGCGTGTAGAATCGCGTCTCGTAACGGACAGGCGACCGCTGTCCAATGGACGCGATGGAAATACTTTTTACATTGTGGGCTTACATCGAGTAAGATACGAGTGATTGTTGTGAGTTGTGGATGTGGTGAACTGACTGCACTTTAATTAATACAGCGAGGCACGACAAGAGAAGATACGGGCAGCGAGGGAGAGAGGAAAGCGAGAAGGAGAGGCGCGGCGGATATGGGATGGAGATAGAGCGAAGAGAGAGAGGGAGAATGGAGGAATGAAGGACAGAGAGGAGGGGGTATATGGGATGGAGGAATAGAGCAAGAGAGAGAGGGAGGAAGGAAGGTAATGAAGGACAGAGAGGGGTATATGGATGGAGGATAGAGCAAGAGAAGCGGAGAGAGAGAATGAGAGAGAGAGAGAGGAGAGAGAGAGAAGAGAGAGAGGAAGGAGGAATGATGAACAGAGGAGGAGGGGTAGAGAAGGAGGAGAAGAAGGAGGTGGATAAGGCTACAACAGC